CTCTGGCTCTGGTCTGCTCCACGTCCCCCGCCCCAACCGCCCTACCATCGGTGGTCGGGCCTTCAGCCTCTCAGCCCCCAGGCTCTGGAACTCCATCCCCCAGTGCCTTCGCCTTGCTTCCTCCCTTTCCTCCTTCAAGGCCGGTCTCAAAACCTTTCTCTTTGACCGTGCCTTCAGCTCCCCTCTCGACTCTCTTCCCCGTCCTCGCTCCCTCCCTTCCCTCCCCTCACCCTGACCATTTCCCCCTTCCTTGCTCCCTCCCTTCCCTCACCCTGACCATTTCCCCCCTGCTCGGGTCATGACCCAACTGTGCAGCGCCTTGGGACGTCCTCCTGACGTGAAAGGCGCTTTATAAATGGAATCTTGTTGTTGTTGTTGTTGTTGTAGGTCACAGCACAGCGTGCTTCATGTGACCGTGCTGCAAGTTACTCTAGGCAATGGGAAGAAAGGTTAATATGCATGAAGCAGGTGACTATGAGATAGGAGTAAGACATGCAATAATAATTAGTATAATAATAATAATAATAATAATAATAATAATAATAATCCTTGCATTTGATGTAGTATGCTGATTTCCTTGGTTACATTAAGCAATCAACATATAATAATGGAAACTATCAGGTGTTCAGAACACGTATTTGGAAGTTTTTTTTTGCTGGATTACCTCAATGAAGAGCTCAAATAATAATCATCCTTGCATTTGATATCATGCCTTATCACATTCTTGAAATCTCTCAAAGTGTTTCACAGGATTTACTGTCAAGTGCAGTAATTTGTAGGTGAGCACAGTAGCCAAGTTGCACACACCAAAAATGAAGTGAAAGACAAAATTCATGTCTAGAAATGTACACAGGACACCAGGAGAAACTCCCTTCTCTTTTTGAAGAGTGCCATGGGATTTTTAAAGTTTACTTTGACGGGCAAACAGAACCTTATCTGAAGGAAGGCACCTCTGATATTCCAGTGCACCCTCAGCATTGCATTGGAGTGTCAACCCAGATGAGGGTGATGCATTAACAAAAACCCTTCAATTGTGTGCTTTGCTGGTGTCACTAGATCGATTGACAGAAGTTTCTGTAGAGTATTACCAGTAGAGCTATTGCTGAAGTTTTCAATTGAGATGTTTACTGATCAGTCCTATTAAATACCAACTTGTCAAAATCACTGCTTTTCCAACAGTCAGAGTTAACAATTTTCAATGATTTTTGAAATCTCCAGATTTTTGTGTTACTGAAGATTTGGTTTTCTGCCCACTTCAGACTGCACATGGAGGTTCTGTTGCTCGGACTGTTTTACCTGGTCTCCTCCAAAACACCATCAATAGGAATGTCATGGAAGCCATCAGAATGTGATGGTCAAGTTACCCAGTCCCTTCATGGCCTCTCCTGTTTCTTTCCATTTTCCATGAACTCTTTCTGTAGCCATTGTGTCCTGATCTCATTACATCTTAACTACAATACCTTCTCGGTTGTGCCTACATGGTCTTCAGGATTAACTTGTCGTTGGTCAGCTGCGTGCCTGACACGTGCAGAAACTCAGTACCATGCTTCAGAGCATCCAACAAGTTTGAATTAATTAAAACCTATTTCTGCCAAGAATTGACTGGGTTTGTATCCCATATCTCTACCGTTTCAAATTTTCAGGAATTTGGTACTTGTCATCCAATAATACCTCCCCAGCCAATATCTACCTGAGATCAGCTAACTAAGGACACAACAAAAATCAATCCTGTGACCTTCTGGTCTGTAAGGCTTGGTGCTTTGCCAGGTATCATCTGTTGTTCACTAGACCATTAGCAAACACCTCAATTTCTTAAAATATATATACATATAAAAAAATTAAAATCCTTGGTCTCAAAGAGTTCTAGAAAACTGAGTCTGCCTTCCCAAAATAGAATTTCAATCCAACACAAATTGAGAGGTTTGTGTATTTCCATGGCAACATCTTTCTTTGTGTATTTAGTACCCATGAACCAATGTCTCCATCTCAGTGAAAGTAACATGCAAAGCAGAATGTGTGCAAAGAATAACATTCTCTGCTTCTTAGGCATGCTTCTTCTGGTTCTTAAAGAGTTTCTATCATCACACATAACAGTGCTATTTAAGTCATATTATTTAAAATATTCAAAACAAATTAAAGATAATAATAATCCCTACATTTGATACAGAGCCTTTCACATCAGAAGGATGGCTCAATCACAGGATTTACAGTAAAGTGGACTGCCTATGTCAATTTTGATGGTTAAATGAGGGCAAGTAAAACAGAAATAATTAATTGTATAATTTGTGTCAGAATTGAGTTATTTCTTGGGATTCTCTATAAAGAATCTCCAAACACTGGAAATTCAGCACACCAATCTATGGGAACTTTGCACTGATATAATCTGCTTCTAGTGTGGTGTTTCCATGGAGTACTATGAATTTTAACAAGATTCCTTAAGAATAAATTTCTATGGATAAGTACCACAAATTACATCTCATTGACAACAACAACAACAAGATTACATTTGTTAGCGCCTTTCACGTCGGGAGGATGTCCTAAGGCGCTGGACAGTGTACTGCATTTCAGACCCGAGTTGGGGTCGGGGGGAGAGGGGAGGGGAGGGGAAGGGGAGTGACCAATGGCATGATTGAAAAGGCGGGTTTTGAGGCGGGACTTGAAGGAGGCTAAGAAGGGGGCGAGGCGGAGTGATTGGGGGATGAAGTTCCGGAGGTTGGCGGCAGAGTGGCTGAAGGCTCTCCCGCCAATGGTGGGGCAGGTGGGTCAGGGGACGTGGAGCAGGCCGGAGCCGGCTGAGCGGAGGGAGCGGGCGGGTTGGTAGGGGGTTAGGAGGTCACAGAGCTAAGGTGGGGCGAGGCCATGGAGGGCTGTGTAGGTGAGGACCAGGATTTTGAACTGGGTCCTCTGAAGGATAGGGAGCCAATGGAGTCAGGCGAGAATGGGGGAGATGGGGTCACGAAGTTTGGTGCGGGAGAGGACACAGGCTGCAGAGTTCTGGATTATCTGCAGCCTGTGGAGGTAGGAGTTGGGAAGGCCGACAAGCAGGGCATTTGCATAGTCGAGCCTGGAGGTAATGAAGGCATGAACAAGAGTTTCAGCGGCCTGAGGTGAGATGGGGCGATATTATGGAGGTGAGGAAAGGCAGAGTGGGTCATGGCTTGGATGTGGGGAAGAAAAGACAGTTGAGGGTCGAACAAGACACCTCGGTTCCTGACTGGCTTGGTGAGTTGAAGTGTGCAACCATGGAAGTTAATGCTGCCAGAGCCTGAGGTGCAGAGGCGCTGGCACAAGCCCATTAGGAGGGCCTCAGTCTTGTTCACATTCAACTGTAAGAAAATTTTGCCCTCATCCAGGACTTGATGTCCGACAGGCAGTCTGTCAGGACAGCAGTGGTCCTGGAGTTGAGGGTGGAGGCAGAAAGATAGAGTTGGGTGTCATCCGCATATATATGGAAGTTGACCCCATGTCTGCGGATGATATCACCAAGCGAGAGCATGTAGATATTAAAGAGGAGAGGGGCAAGGACAGAGCACTGGGGGATGCCAGACGTGACAGTGCAGGGGCTGGAGGAGAAACCGTTAGAGGCAGCAAAGTGGAGACAGTGAGAGAGATAGGATTTGAACCAGGCAAGGGCAGGTCTGGGAAGATTGAGTAAGGAGAAGCGTTGTATGAGGATGGAGTGGTCGACAGTGTCGAAGGTGGCAGAGAGGTCGAGGAGGACAAGGAGGCAGAGGGAGCCCTGATCACAGATGTTCAGAATGTCGTTAGTGATTTTGACCAGGGCTGTTTCCGTGCTGTGGGCAGCGTGGAAGCCAGATTGGAGGGGTTCAAAGAGGGAGTGGAGAGAAAGAAAGGAGCTTTTCAATAAGTTAAATGGGCTCCGCCTGTTAAATATCTGCTTTTATGAACTGCTCCATTATTCTAACATTGCAGGCTTTTGGAGTTGAGTGGCAAAAAGAAAATTCATGACCTCTGAATTGTCTTGCTGTTACACTTTTCCCATTCCCTCCAAAGTATCCATCATTTCCAGCTTGATAAGATTGCTGCTCCAAGTACCAGCAACGGCTCCTAAACATTTCTGGTTAAAAATAGCATCTTGTCTCCAACTGATCAGGTTACGAAGACCAATGGTCTGAAAAATACTGTCAAAGAACAATAGCTGTGTTGTTAACACTAAATGATGTGTGGAGGGATGTAATATAAAGGCACAGAACTCACCTTTAACAGCTTCTGATCAAATTATCAGAATTTTAGATTCTCAGTGATCAGCTGCATAGATTTATGTCAGCAATCTGTGCTGTGACCAGTCTTTTCCATTCAGTACACTCATATGGAAAGGCAAATATATGCCCAAGAGGTGCAATAATGTCTGTCGTTCTTTTTTTCTGCCTGGATATGGTTGAACAATTGATAATGAAAATGTCCTTTTCCATTTCAGGCATTCAGACATTTAGTAGTGATATGCACACAGTCAAATAACCACTGCAATAAGAATCTAGCGGTGCCCAACTGTATCACTGAGTGTCAATCAACATTCATTCAGACACCAAATATAACCCACAAAAAATAACTGTAGCCACAGGTCCATTCATTGGTTTTCGTTGATTAGTTGCTCCCATTCCAAAGTCAAATACAATACCATTGTATTTTTGATTATTGTGTATCATTTTTATCATCAGATATCATTTAATATTTACCTATTGCAGCTTTTGTAACACTATCCAAAACCAATGTGGGAAAAAAATAAGATATTTCAACATTTTGAACAATATTTTTCTAGTGTCAGATATTGGCAGTTGGTGCATTCCTTGAAATTGCAGGTTGTATTTCAATGAAGGGGCTTTTCATTAATAAAGTACCAATTCAGATTGTTTATTTCTGCCATGACTTGACTGATGGCCCTTTACCTTTCAGCAAGACGTTGGTTATATTGGTATTGAACACCCTTTTGTACAAAGCCACAAATCTGATTAGTTTGTGAATTGGATCCCGCTGCTTACCGTGGTTGTCTTTATTCGCCCGCCTGGCTGTGTGCAGGTCCAACCTGATTTATTCATTAACAAATTGCAGCCTTCTCTTTCCAAACATGGAAGCATTTCACACCATTGCTTACTCTTTACAATTCGTGCTGAAAAATAAACAAAGAAAATTGATTACTTCTGCGTTCTTTGGTTGTTAATATTAAATTCCCAATCATGAGCTATTTATTTTAAAGAAAAATACATTATTTGGCTAAATGTCTGAGTTAAACATATGCATTTGGTTTAAATAGATGTTTCTGTAAAAAATGGCTGCTGCATTTGCCTCTATAACATTGTAAGTTAAATACAAGTTTATTATTTATTTTTCACAATTTTACTATTCACTACGGCATTATTCAAAAAGATAAGAGAGTTTCTTCCTGTGTCCTGGGCAACAATCCCCCAGATAAAACTGAGCATCCACTTCATGGCTGTTTGTGGGACATTGCTCTGTGCAAATTAGCTATCGTGTTCACCTATAAAATACAGTCACAACACCTTACAGTAAATTGTGTAAAGCACATTGTGATGTCCTCCCAATGTGAAAGACACTATATCAAATGTAAGTATTATTATTATTATGTTTATCATTCCCCTTTCAATTATGTCATTAACTTAAGCCCAGTTTTCCTTGTGCTTCAATCACAGAACTGAAATTAGCCACAGAACTGAAATCAGACATGGAACTGAAAACAGACACTCAGAAGGTTTGATGGAAAGGGGTTGGGAAAGAACCAAACACCAATTCATGACATCGCTTGTTGATGCTCAAAAATGTTTTTCCATTGTGACACCTAGGATTGTTACAACCGGTCTGCTCTATTATGTACTGAGTAAACCCACCAAGATTTCAAATAATTGCATGCATAGTTTTCTCAGTCAAATTGCTTTTTAAAGAACAATTTAACACATTTAGGATAATGCGCAACATTACCACAATCCCTAATGTGTTTTGTACAGCCAGTTAATTAAATTTGCTTTAATTGAACACAACAGAATACCCTTTTCATTGCAAATTGTTACACAATATGTTCACAGTAAATAGTTGCTAAAGCTGAATTCTGAAAATCATCAGGCACAAACTGAGTGGAGCACACCACTACCAAGGGTCCAGATTGGTGTTGTAAACAATGATATCATATGGACTCAAACGTTAAGTGCACAGAGCAGCACAACTTTAAGATTGAAGAGACTGAAGTAGGAAAGAGGGCAAATTAACAACAATTAATATAGTCCCTTTAATGTTGGGAGGACATCTGAAAGTGCGTCACACAGTTGGCTTGAGCACAGCTGGTGGGGTGGGGGGGGGGAAAGGTAAGAAGAGGAGGGGCCTCTAAATATAGATGGAAAACAAATGCAGGTTTTGAAGGTGGAGAGGAAGGAGATAAGGTGGAGGGATTCTCATCAGGAAGTAATGGTAAGATATTGAGCTTGAGTTTTAAAAGCCTTAAAATGTAGGGAAGGGAAAACCGAGACATGTCAAATGTAAATATGGTTCTTGGTATTCAACACATACATTAATTGGGGAAGTCAGATATATCAGCCAATAAGTACGAACGCTTAATATTTGCTGTATGAAACAAATTCTCCTAAACTCTTTTTTCGCTCTTCCTGTGGCTACCTTATATCTATGTCATCTAGTGACCGACTACCCTACAGCGGAAATAGCTTCTCCCTATTTATCTTATTTACAAATGTATTTTTGTTGTTGTTATTTAAAGAAAATGCATGCAGAGTGCTATTTTAGTTTATATCTAACAGAAATCACATAACCACAATCTGAACTCAATCAGGTCATTGAATTCGATGTAGTTGAATGCGCCAAAAGTTGCTTATTCTGTATGCAGCTAAAGGTCAGTAGACAATGCAATGGTGTTCAGTCTGCACAGAGCAAGGCAACACTTAAATCACAGAACTGAAATCAAACAAACAGTAACCTTGATACAAGCAACAGTTTCAACAAATGGAATCAACAAGTGTTAGATTTCTTTATTCATTAGCCTCTTCAGGCCAGCAGTATACTCTTTTTAGAATATCACAAAGACTATGAAAAAGTGAGAGACAAATTCCAGTGAGCAAAAAATATTCAAGGTTCTTAGAAATAGCTACATCAAAGGAACCTTGTGGGTTGCCCCTGTTCTGTTTCCCCCGCACACATCACAATGGTAGTCCACAATCTTGTGGGTAACAGGATGGATAAACGAGAGAAGCCTAGGGAGGGTTGTGGGAGAGACACTAAAATGCAATATTTGAAAACTGGAATTTTTTGTGGTAATAGCAACCTCTTGTATGCAGCTTCCCAATTTTTAATAATTTTTTAAAACACAATTTTCAAATCACCAAAGCCGACAGAAAACAAAAATTGCACTTGCTTTTTTTTCCATTGAACTTTGGGGATTCCAAAATTAGCATCTTTTTAAAACTCAAAATTGTGCAATCTAGTTTACAAAGATCATATTTTAGACACCCAATGTATCCAATTATTACACTAGACAACATATTGTGTTACTAACCGGACAGCTGTCAAAAGAAGAGTTTTAAATAGAAGAGTACGCTAATGTTCTCAGTAAATGAGAAGAAAAAGTGAACATAGAAGCTGAACACTAAAGGCTGTGTTTTTCCTTAACCTATTATTCCAGGTTCCACAGCTTCCAGGCCTTCAAAGCCACCAGTAACTGCTCCATAATCATCTCATTGTGCATTCAAATACTTGGGCTTTGTCTGCTTAGCAGCCTTATCTCCACTTAGTTCCTGATAATACACGAGTACCAGGATAATTTCCACAGGTTAATTGAATAATCATCACCTATTTTCAAAGGTTATGCTTGCAATATATCTCAACATTTTTAAATGTTCAGCTTCTTACAGGCCTAATAAATACTGTACTATAATGGTATGGTGTAACCTTACAGTATTCGGAAAAAATTGTTGCAATAATTTTAACAGAAATCGCAGATCACAAAAATCTTTGACCATTGCCCCCTGCTCCGCCCCTCCACCCCCTCAACACACATCACAATAGTTGCACCCCAAGCAGCCTAGAGTCACCACATGATCCCAAGAGAGGTTCGAATCAAGAAGACCTTTTGACCCATTTGATCCAATCCTTTCAGAATACCCACCATCATCCCCCCATAGGCTGCAGATCATCCAGAACTCTGCAGCCCGTGTCCTCACCCCCATCCTCGCCCGACTCCACTGGCTTCCCATCACAGAGGATACAGTCAAGATCCTGGTCTTCACCTTCAAAGCCCTCCATGGTCTTGCACCCCCCACCCTAACTCTGCGACCTCCTAACCCCCTACCATCTTGCTCGCTCCCCCCGCACAGCGGGCTCTGGCCTGCTTCACGTCCCCCGCCTCACTCATTCCACTATTGGCAGGTGGGCTTCTGCCACTCTGCTCCCACCCACTGGAACTCCGTCCCGCAGTCCCTCCGCCTTGTCCCCTCCCTTGCCTCCTTCAAGACCCATCTCAAGACCCTCCTCTTCGACCCTGCTTTCGATCTCTCTGCTTCCCCCACTGCCCTCCAACCTCACCGATCCCAACCCCCAGCCTAGGTCTGAAACTCTCTGTCCAGCACCTTGGGATGTCCTCCCGACGTGAAAGGCGCTATACAAACGTAATTTTGTTGTTGTTGTAGCATCAGCGGTTTAATAAATGAGTCTAATGGACTGACCTCAACCACCCTTTCTAGTAACTTGTTCCAGTATTTACCTCGCCAGACTATGGAGTATGTCTTTTGAGTGCACAACAAGAAACTGGCTTAACTCAACAAACAACATGCAGAGTTAAACTGGTTTCCCTTGAGCATGCACTCAGAAGCCATGCTCAGAAGCTTTAAGTAGAACAGCAGCCACAGGTTGGGCTCAAGCATTTCAGTGGATTGGAAAGTAATGAAAGTGGTGACGAAATTTAGCTTTTTCTGGAGTAAAACATTTAAGTGCCAGCCTGCCTCAATTGGCTCAGCAGTGTTGTTTTTGAGTCAAAGGCTGTGGATTCACACCCCATGTCCTGTAGCTTAGTAATTGGACCACTTGCCTCACAAGCGAGAGGACTTTCAGAGTCCCAGCAGGGTGAAATGTTGGGCAAGTTTCTTTACTCCACATACCTCTGTTTACCTAGCAGTAAGCAGGAACCTGGTTGTTAGTCAATTTTCGGATCACTTTTCCGGGGGGGGGTAATAATTCCTAAAAAAAAATCATAATTCCATATGCCATATCCCATCCCATAATTTGGTCACTTAATCTACAACTGTTTGTGGAACACAATTGGCTGCTGCATTTTGCCCACAAAACATACAGTCAATTCACTTCACAGTATATTCTGTCAACCACTTTGAGACATCTGGAAGACGTGATAAGGTGCTCTATCAAACGCAACGATTATTATTCGTATTATGTTGAGAGTTTGAACTCACATTAGTCTAGGCCAGTGGGGGCTGTAAGTGGCCTGCAGGGCTGTTATGAAGTGGCTCGCCGAATATTTGCACTTGTCTAAGTGAGTCTGTAATAAATCAATGATTCGTTTCCAGTTTATTTCTTGCTTGAATATTTCTTGATTTATGGCATTAAAAAAAAATCAAGAAATATTCAGTCTTGGATGACCAAAAAGTTTAGCCTCCACTGATCTAGACTGATACTTCAAAACAATGCTCCAGGTGCACTGTATCGTTCAATATGTCGTCCTGCATATGAGACGTTAAACTCAGGTCCCATCTCCCTGATCACTTGCATATTAAAGATCCCATGGTATTATTCGAAAAGAGAAGGGTGTTTCTCCCTGTGTCCTGGCTGACAATCCCCCCCAGATATGATCGGTCATTCACTTCATGATTATTCGTGAGACACTGTTGTGCACAAATTAGCCACATTCACTGACAAATATGCACATTTACTACATTTTATAGTAAATCCTGTGAAGCGCTTTGAGATGTCCTCCCAACATGAAATACGCTTCAGCAAATGCAAGGAAAATTATTATTTACATAATTATGAAACTCTTTATAATTACAACTTCAGATCGTATTTCACAAAGATTGTCTAAATTGTTATCTTTAATGAAGGAACATTCATTAAATCCACAAAGCATTGTGTAAAAATCACAGG